GCAAGGAAGCCATTGAAACAAACGTTAGTTAAGGGAGAAAGCAAAAACAAAACATGCCAACATAGGATTATGAGCTCGTTTATATATAGACATGGGTACAAGATATCATTGTCATCCGCGACATATTTGACATAGAATTTCAATAATATCAAGAATCTTTCCTACAAAAAGGAAAGAAATAATAATAATTACAATATAATTATTGAAATAAATTTGATATTTTTTACTTTGTATAGATTTTAAGAGATTCCCTATTTCTTATCTATTGTCAATGATTTTATTGAAATAACTCTATTTCTTAATTTAAGTATGATATTCCATAACTACTTTAATATTATTTTATATTAGAGTTATTCATGAAATATTTTGATGATTACAAAAAGATTTTGAATTATTATTAAAGATTATAAATTTTTTTTTTCTGGTGAAAATTAAAAAAAAATCAATTATCAAATCATTATTATTGTATAAATTTTTTAACTAAATTTAAATTGTAGTACATATCTGAAACGTTTGTTAGTGGATTTGTTAGTGGGTATTATATATTAAATACAGTTCTCAGAGATAGGACAATCCATCCTAGTGATATAAGACTACCAAAGCATGACAATTGGCAAAAATGAATTTTCTGTCAGAAGATTACACACGTAGGAAATTGATATAAATCTGATTGAGCTTTACTTGAGGACTATGGAAATATGAATAATATCCTTGTATCAATCAAGTAAAATCAGTAATGAATCCCACAAAAGATGCTAGAAAAGTTTCTTGTGATCGATCCATCTTCCCTTTTTGAAAAAGGCAACGTTTGAAAGTTTTCACCCATGACAATAGAAAACCCCACCAAGTTTAATAGTTGAACCCAATAATAGACAATAGCTCAATCCTCAAACCTTATGGCGAATTCCTGTGGCTCATACCATCAGATTATTGGCTAAAAATATTATACTTTCTGTACGTACATGATACAATTCGTACGATACGATACGAATCACAAGTACAATACGTATCGTGAGATGTATCAAAAAGAGATTTGTGTTGTACGATACGATATGTATCATGTACTGTGCGATATGCAAATTAAATCATTTTTTTTAATTTTTAATATAAAAAATAAAGATTTTATTTATGATTTAAATTAAAATAAATCGAAAAAAATTATTATTAATAAGAAAAATAAAATAAAGATTTGATTTGTGATTTAAAATAAAAAATCAATATGAGAAATCTTTATTAATAAAATAAATAAATATTTTTGAATACTTATCGGACATAATTTTTGAATTTCTTATTTTAAAATTGTTAAATTTATTACGAATACTAATAATTTGATAATAATAATTTTCTATTTTCATAAAAGAAATTAAATATTTTATAATATTTTAAATTATTTTTACAATTATCATAATATTTCAGGAATAAATATAATATTGAAGTAATTATAAAATATCTACTTAAATTATATTACATATTTGAATTCTTATAGTGAAAAATAAAATTAAAAAAAATCAAAATATAACCATTCGTAATAAATTCAATGTTTTTTTAATTTAGAGAAATAAAAAATATAGTCAATCCTTTAAATCTATGTAAAAGTAAAAAATATCAAATTTATTTCAGTAATTATATTGTAATAATATTTTTTTTCTTTTATTTTTGTCAGAAATATTCTTGATATTAAAACAAAGCGCAGATCCTCAAGACTAATCCATGGAATCCGTTACCCTTAGGTTGATTAAAAAGTTCTTAGCATCGCATGGCTAAGGTAAACATAATTAAAAATTAAAAAGAATAAGAACAGAAGATGAAGAAGAAGAACAGAATTGAATTCAAATTCAGAGAAAATTTGTCTGTCGTAAAAACTCCCAAAAACATATTGCCGAAGGGTTTCCTAAAGTCTCCCTTAAAGAGCCGTCATTCAGAACGGCTAGGGTTTCACCACTTCAGCCCATACATAAAATAAAAGCTGAATAAAATAAAATAAAATAATAAAACATGGCCTTGGGCCCTAAACACATTGGGTCCTAATGTGAATTACAAGTTCAAACGTCAAAATAAAATTCCTGCAAAAACACGTCATCTTGAGCTCCGATTTCGACCATCTTCCCGTCCGAATTGGGTTTCAGTAACGGAAATAGAGATTGTAGCCTTATCTGTTAGCAGCAGAACGCAACAACAATGGAGTCAATCGGACATCTGTAGAGTGAGATACGGGCAAAATACGAAAGTAGTGTAAATCTGGAAAATTATAACGAAAATCAATTAAACCCAATTAAAATGTAGAATTGTGATTTGACCCAAAAGACCTTTATTTAATTCAAATAAAACATAAAAATACCAACCAATAGTAATAAATAAGTGTAACAAAATATGAGTTATCACGAGGCCGTCTTAAAAGCATATAACTCGGCCCTCTGCAGTTCCTCCATCTCGATCGGTTATCGAAATGATCCCAGTCCCAAAAAATGCAGGCGGGGGACGGGGATCACCCCGGAGTTCAGTAGCCACCCCGGGCTCCCATAGCGCACCTCTCTTAAGTCCGACTATGAGAGCAGGAGTAATTTGGGTACCTCCCGAGTCCAACCAATTATCAGCATCATTGGTAAGATCCAACTCTGATATGTTGGGATTAACAGCCGGGATAGAAGAAGTGGTAGCTGTAGAAGGACTAACAGTCCTTTTCCTTTTAGCAGCGGGAGGAGGCCAAGATGCAACCTTTCCTCGAAGAGACATACAAGACGGTGAATCTGTGGTTGAAGTATAAGCGGTGTTCCTTGTACTGTAGGTTGTAGACGTATGTAATCCCTACATTCTCTGGCCAGTAGAATTCTTACACACATGACATGGATATATGTTGCATTGCACAGATTTTGGAAATGATATTATTATGCTATTTTTGAACTTATATTGCCCATGTAAGTGAGCTTGGGGTGGAGAGATCCTTGAGGACCCTTTGTCTTACTGAGATTTCTTTTTAGAGATCTCACCTCGTGTTGGGGCACATTTTCAGGTACAGGTACCTCGGGGGTTGATACCTCTAGCGGCAGTAGGCCGGAGTTGAGTTGACTATGCATGCTGTTGTGCTGACATGTTGGATTTTATCATGCTTTTATATCAGTATATGGTTATTGGTTTTGAGACATTGATTGGGTTTTGTTGCCTTATTTGGTTAGCATGGGGGTTGTCCATACCACATTGACTATGTTATGTTATTTAGTTTTGAATTGTATAATGTATCAGGATATTGTCCGATCTACATGTTGTAGTTCCATGACTAGATACACACTTATATCATGAGGTTATTCAGTTAGTTCTTTATTGCAATTTACATACAGGAAATGTTTTGAAAAGGAATTAAGCAATCAACTTGGTTAATAATAATGACGTCATAATTGAAAAGAGAAAGTTAGCTTCCGCATTTGTTTAGTTGCGCTACTGCCATATGTATGTTTAATACGTCGGGTGCACACGGGGTGTTACAGATGAAACGGCGTAGTGCATTGGAGTTTTTGTGTGACCGCAGAATTCCCTTTAAGCTAAAAGAAAAATTCTATAGAATAGCAGTAAGGCCTGCTATGTTATACCAAGCTGAATGTTGGACAGCACATAAGTAACATGAGTATAAAATGAGAGTAGCGGAAATGAAGATGTTAAGGTGGATGTGTGGTTATAGGAGGATGAATAACATAAGAAATGAAGATATTCAATGAAAGGTGTAAGTAGTACCGGTGGCAGAAAAGATGAGAGAACATAGATTGAGATGGTTTGGGCAAGTAATGATAAGGCCCCTGGATGCTCCCATTAGAACAAAAATTTGTTTCTAAGAGCTTAACACAAAGAGAGGTAGAGGTGGACCGAAACTTACTTGGGGGAAGGTAATAAAACAAGACCTAAAGGAGTGTGATATAGATTGACTTACTTGGTGGATGGTTAGACCCTTTTTTATTCCTATGTTCTAGACGGTCCCTTTTTAGTCCTTTTCCTCTTTATCTGCCCCCACCCCCTTTCTTTTTTCCTTCTTTTCTACTATTTCATTTTTCCTTTCAATCTCTTTTCTTTTACCTATTTGTTTGTGTTTTTTTCTTTTTTTCCCTATATTTTTTTTCTATTTTTTTATTTCTTACCTTTTTATTCTTATTCTTTTATGTTCTTTTATATATCCTTATTTGTATTTTATTTAATTTATTTTTTCCTTGCAATTGTGTACTATTCTTTTATGGATAATATACTTAAATTTTATTTTTATCATTTTTTTAATCTTTTCATAACTTTTTTTTTGAGTTCATCTACCACCAATTTTAATTAATTTGGAATAAAGGTATTATTGATGTTGATGTTAATTGTTGGATGTACCCACATTATCTGAATAAGCTAAATGTGTATTTTAACTCTCTCTTTCTCTCTTTTTGATTTGCGAACGTGTATGTGTAATTGTTTGGTGCCACCAAAATATATGAAAATATGAAGTATTCTTAAGAGTTCGGATTTTATTTATTTTTTATTGGTATCCAAGAGTTTGGAGTTTTGTTGCAACAGAAAATGACCAAAATGGCATCAATGAAGTTATGTATTTAGTTTCCACTTTTGTGTATTCTTTTTGTTTTTCCATTTGAGTTTTAGCCCTTCTAATGTATTCAAAAATAATTTTTTCTCCCCTTAAATCTCAAAACTGTCTTTGAAATAACTTTATATATTGTTATAAGACAAACGCTAAATCCTTTAATCAAATATTCACGACAAGTTCAGAAAAAAAGTTTAGAAAGAAACACCTGAATACCTATTAAGGATATAGGAAGCAAAACCAAGATTCAGAGTTTTTGTATTTTCTTTACCTTTTTTTCGCTTTTCAAATAAAATATTAATTAATTGTTGACCAAAATAAAAAATTACAACTCATTTCTATTACTATATACTAAAAGTTAACCACGTTTTTCTATTTTCAAGGTCAGGGACGAAACCATGTTTAGCCAGAGCCATATATTACGCATTCCATTATTTGCTTATACAGAAGAAAAAAAATTAAAGCGGGGCACAGGGACACAAATCAAAGGATAAGCCCTTGGAAGGGTCATGGCTGGTTTTTCTTCCATGTTAACGGTGCCATCAACCTTCCATTCAAAACACTGAATCATAGCAGCAAGGGTAGTGGGTACAACCTGAAGTGCTAGTGAGGCTCCAGGACACACCCTTCTTCCTGTCCCAAATGGCATTAGTTGGAAATTCTGTCCCCTCACATCAAATTGGTTCTCTTCATTGATAAACCTCTGTGGCCTGAACTCAAGTGGATCCTTCCACAGGTTGGGGTCTCTCCCCATAGACCACAAATTAACAAATAACAAACACTTTGAAGGAATCTCATAACCACAAACATTACAGCTTTCAGATGATTCTCTTACTATAAATGGGGATGTGGGGTGAATCCTTAATGTTTCTTTAACTACTGCTCTCATGTAAGGAAGGTTGATAAGATCTGACTCTTGTATTAATCTACTCTTTCCTGTTACTGAATCGATCTCTTGTCTTGCTTTCTCCATCACATGAGGGTTGTTGATTAACTCAGCTAGAGCCCATTCTGTTGTTATTGAAGATGTGTCTGTTCCTGCCATAAACATCTCCTGCATACATATATTTTAAAAATAAATTTAATCACATCTTTAATTATAGAATTTATATAGTTTATTTTAAAATGTTCACTTTAAAATAAATTTATTCATTTATTATAATTGCAAATTCTGAGTTGTTCTTGTTGTAAATATTAGGTATTTTATTATTATTAGTATTTGTTGTATTGGGCCAAGCCCATTAGGTCAAGAATTAGGTTTTTTAGTCTCTATAAATAGAGACCTCTTTGTATCAGATTAATACACAATTCAATAATATTTCAAATACCCTTTTCTTTCAAGTTAGTATCAGAGCTCTCGATCCTGAGGGCTCTGCTTCCGCGCCTATTGTCTTTAGAACAAGAACCTTTTATTCTTTTTGTCTCTCGCTGCCATCAGCCGCCACCGGATTTTTTCCGGGGACCTCTTGGACCGAGAAGATCTCTGTTATACTGGATCTCTGTTACTGTTCATCGTCTCTGTTACTATTCATCGTCTCCATTATTCTTCATCACAAGACAGCATCTGTTCATCACGATTGGACCCTTTCCCGGTGGTTTTTCAACTCCGAACAGACCCAGAAAGAACCGCGCTCACCCAACGACGTTGCTCCAGAAATTTCAGACCAGACGGCCACCGCACGCGCCCACGCGCGCAGCTCCTTCAACCGCGAGTGAAGCCCACGCGCAGCCAATCTCACCGGCGCGTGAGACCATTTTTCCGGATCGGACCACCGCGATCTTGATCGTCCCTTCATCCTCTTTTTGGATCTGTGCTCCTCTCTTTGATCAGACATCGTTTGGTATTTATTTGTGATTTTTTGGCTTCTTGGAGCTTTTCTTTAACCATTTTCTGTGCAGTATGGCCTCTTCTCAAAGGAGTTCTTTTTAAAAAATTTATGATGGTACCTCTTCTAGACCTAAGAGAGATGACCGATGGTGTTCTTATTGTAAAAGAATAGGTCATATCAAGGATTTATGCTTTCGCCTTTATGGAAAGCAAACTGTCTTAGAAAAGATGGCAAGGATGCGTGGTCAAGCGCATTTTACTTCTTCTGAAATAACCCCTGCACCTAATGAGACCCAATCTGCATTTCGTCCAGATGAGTTGGAACGACTCCGAACCATTCTTGATTATCTGAGTAAGCCATCTGATATTAGTGCTTTGGCTATGACTGGTATGAGCTCCAAAACTCATTCTTTCATTTCTTCATGTAATGATTTTAAACATTCTTGGGTTGTTGATTCTGGTGCTACTGATCATATGGCTTGTTGTGCTGACTCATTTATTTCTTATCATCCTACCATTGGAACTCATACAATATCCATAGTTGATGGCTCACATACATCAGTTGCGGGTTCTGGTGACATAAACTTACAGCAGTCCTTACATCTTAAGGATGTTCTTCATGTTCCTAAACTCTCCACGAATCTTCTTTCTATTCACAAAATTACAAAAGATTTGAATTGTACTGTAATCTTCTTCCCTACCCATTGTGTTTTTCAGGATCTCGCCACGGGGAAGACGATTGGTAGTGCTAAAGAGCAAGATGGGCTGTACTATCTGGTGTCACAATCTCCCGCAAATAAAGTAACAGATCACACCTTCATGTCTCATGGTCAATCAACTGCTGATTCTTTAATTTGGCTGCATCATAAGCGTTTGGGTCATCCTCCATTTAGTTTACTCAAATCTTTATTTCTGTCATTGTTTTTGTCTAAGTCTGTTGAGTTTTTTCATTGTGATGTTTGTGAATTTGCTAAGCATCATCGTGTGTCTTTTCCTTCTAGTATTACTAAGAGTGTTGAACCTTTTGATCTTATTCATTCTGATGTTTGGGGTCCTTCTAAGGTCCCTCATTCTTCTGGAAATAAATGGTTTGTTTCTTTTATTGATGATTTCACTCGTGTAACTTGGGTTTACTTAATGCGTGAAAAGTCTGAGGTACCACAACTGTTCTTTCAATTTTATAAAATGATTGAGACTCAATTTTGTAAAAAAATCAAAAGACTAAGGACAGATAATGGTACTGAATATGTAAATCACTCTTTTTCCCAATTTATACAAAATCAAGGTATGATTCATGAACTTACTTGTGTAGACACCCCTCAACAAAATGGGGTTGCTGAAAGGAAAAATCGTCACCTTCTTGAAGTTGCTCGTGCCTTACTGTTTCAAACACATGTACCCAAATGCTATTGGGGAGATGCCATTCTTACTGCAGCATTCTTGATCAATCGTCTACCCACTCGGGTTCTCGATCATGTAAGTCCTATTCATTCCATGACTTCTTTTTTTCCTTCTGTTCCAACTTTGCAAAGTCTTCCTCCTCGAGTGTTTGGGTGTGTTGTCTTTGTTCATATTCATAAACAGCATCGCAGTAAGTTGGATCCTAGGGCTCTTAAATGTGTCTTCCTTGGATATGCTCCTGATAAGAAGGGCTACAAGTGCTATCACCCTGGAAGTCAAAATTGTTTTGTTTCTATCGATGTTACATTTCAGGAATCTGAGTCCTTTTTCCAAGGTCCTCATCTTCAGAGGGAGAATAATTCACCAGAAGACTCATCACCTTCCTTCTTTGAATCTTCAGTGTCTACTCCTTCACCTGTGTCAGTGTCTCTTCCTCTTGTTCCTGTTCCTAATGTGTCTATGTCTGATCCTCCTGTGACTGATCCTCCTATGACTGATACATCAAGTACACCAGAGATACGGAAGATTGTAACACCTGAATCGTCTGAACAGCCCACATTGCCTCAACAGCAACCTCAATCGTCTGAACCACTGGTAAGTCCAGAATCTCATATTTCTGATCATGATGTTAATACTTCTGATGACTTACCCATTACTATTGTTTCTGATGATTTACCCATTGCTTTAAGAAAAGGAAAAAAATCTTGTTCCAAGAAAACTTGTTCTTCTTGTCCCTCTTGTACTCAATACCCTATCTCCAATTTTGTTTCCTCTGCTAATCTTTATGTGCAGCACAAAAGCTTTGTTTCAGCACTAGATTCTACTTCAATCCCAAAATCAGTACATGAAGCTTTGAAAGATGGGAACTGGGCTCAAGCCATGCAAGAGGAGATGAATGCGTTGGAGAAAAATAAAACATGGGAGGTTATTGATAGACTCAACGGAAAGAAAGCAGTAGGGTGCAGATGGGTTTATGCCCTGAAATATAATTCTGATGGCACTCTTGAGAGATACAAGGCTCGATTAGTCGCCAAAGGTTACACTCAAACCTATGGCATTGATTATGAAGAAACCTTTTCTCTAGTTGCAAAGATGAATACAGTGAGAATCTTGTTGTCCCTTGCTGCCCATTACAATTGGGATATAAATCAATTTGATGTGAAAAATGTTTTCCTCAATGGTAAGTTAGAAGAAGAAGTCTACATGGAAATCCCGCCTGGTTTTGATTCTGTGAAGGGGGAAAATAAAGTTTGTCGATTAAAAAAGGCCTTGTGTGGATTGAAACAGTCACCTCGTGCTTGGTTTGGAAGGTTTACTAAGGTTATGATGACCTTAGGATATAGACAGAGTCAAGGAGATCACACTCTTTTCTTCAATCACTTCCAAAATGGGAAGCTTACTGTGCTCCTTGTATATGTTGATGATATTATTATCACAGGTCATTTTGTGGAGAGACAGATTCTGCAGACACGACTTGCCTCTGAGTTCGAAGTCAAAGACCTTGGAAAACTGAGATATTTCCTAGGGATAGAAGTAGCTCATTCAAGCATAGGAATTTTTATCAGTCAGAGGAAATATGTTTTGGATCTTCTCAAAGAAGCAGGGAAGCTCGGGTGTAAACCCTCTAATACTCCTATTGAGCAGAATCACAAGATAGGCTTTGAAGAGGAGAATCCTCCAGTTGATAAAGGACAATATCAACGGCTAGTTGGAAAATTGATATATCTGGCTCATACTAGGCCAAACCTAGCTTATGTTGTTAGTGTTGTCAGTTAGTTTATGCACGATCCAAAGGAGAAACACATGCAGGCAGTAGAGAGAATTCTTCAGTATCTTAAAGCTACTCCTGGTAAAGGATTGTTATTCCGACGTGATGGTAATCTCTCTTTAGAAGTCTACACTGATGCTGATTATGCTGGATCTGTGACTGACCGTCGTTCTACCACTAGTTATTGCATGTTTCTTTGCGGTAACTTGGTGACATGGAGAAGTAAGAAACAAGATGTGGTTGTCAGATCAAGTGCAGAAGCTGAATTTCGAGCTATGGCTCAAGGCATTTTGTGAGTTACTGTGGCTGAAAATTGTACTTGATGATCTCAAAATAAAATGTGAGGGACCTATGAAGCTGCTATGTGATAATAAGTCCGCTATTTGTATAGCTCATAATCCAGTTCAACATGATTGGACTAAACATATTGAGGTCGACCGTCATTTCATCAAAGAGAAACTTGATAGCGGGTTGATTACCATTCCATACATTCCCACTGGGCGTCAATTAGCTGATCTATTGACAAAGGGACTTCCTTCAGACAGATTTCAAGAACTTACTAGCAAGCTGAGAATGATAAATATCTATTTCTCAGCTTGAGGGGGAGTGTTGTAAATATTAGGTATTTTATTATTATTAGTATTTGTTGTATTGGACCAAGCCTATTAGGTCAAGAATTAGGTTTTTTAGTCTCTATAAATAGAGACCTCTTTGTATCAGATTAATACACAATTCAATAATATTTTAAATACCCTTTTCTTTCAAGTATTCTTAACATAACCCCACGCAGCATCTCACTTTCCTTGTCTAAAGAATTAGTACAAAGGAGCACATATGTATAATCTATGCCACATGTAAGTAATTTAGAGAGTTGAACTATATGAACATTTGGAAAGCATCCAAAACAGTAGCCAACTAGAGTTGTTTTGTGGTCCCAATTGGGTATTTAATTTAAACAACCAATTGAACTCAAAAGTTTAAGCTAATTGCTAAGAAGCTACGTTGGGGTTGAAGAGCAGTGACAATTGAACTTATGACCACCGAATCACATAGGCTCTAATATTATATAAATAATCAATTCAATATAAAAGTTTAAACTGACTATATTAATTAACTAAGTTATATTTTTGAACAAATTAAATAGGCAATAAAGGATGTTAGAAGAGTTGCTTACCAAGATGAAAGCCTTGATGTTCTCTCCGGTGAATACTATCTCAGTGTTCTCGTCTTCTTTTATTTCCAACAAAATCTCAAGTAGATCCTTAAATTCAGCACCTTCACCCTCTTCTTTCCTTTTCTTCCTTTCCCTTTCATGCTCCTCTATCACCCTCTCCATCATGGTATCAAACCTGTCATGAATCTCTTTAAGCCTTTTCTTCATTCCCTGCAAATCAAAATTCTTACATAACCAAACAAAGTCTGAAACATTAAACTTCCCTGCAAGCTCTGCAGCGTCCATCACCATCTTTCTAATGTCTTCAACATCATTATCATTTTCAGAACACGTTTGGTTCATAGTCATTCTTGATATAATACTATTTGTGAGAATTAAGAGTTCGCCACCAACATCAACAGCCTCACCAGCTTCCCCTTTCTTCTGCAAAAGTCTCAAAAATCTGAGAGTCTCTTGTTGCCTCAAAGGGAGGAGTTTATCAAGGGTTCGGCCACCAAGAAGCTCAGATATGCAAATTTTCTTCATGAATTTCCAATAACTTCCATAAGGTGCAAAAACGAAGCCTTTGGAGCCATATGATAAGTAATGAACTGCAGCACTTCTAAAGCGGTTTGAGAAGCATGTTTCATGGGTTTTGAGGAACTCCTTGGCGATTTCTGGATTTGAAACTACAATGCAAGGGACAGAGCCTAGGAAAAGTTGCATTATGGGTCCATAGCGAGTTGAGAGATTGTGAAAACTTTTGTAAGGTAATTTTGAGATAAGGTGAAGGTGTCCAATGATAGGTAGTGCCGGTGGACTTGGTGGACGATGACCCTTGTTCTGATTTCTTGTGAATATGGCTCGAACCAGAATGGTTGAGACTAGCCAAACAAAGAAAAGTTGGACATAGTCTTGAAATTCAGCCATATCTGAAAATTTTGGATGAAATTGTAAAATATGCTGGTTACAATTTATACAATCTTTACCTTGGGAGGGCAATAATAGGAAACTTACCAGTGCTAATTAACTGGGGGAAGATAATGCAATTAATGAGAGGAGGTAAAGACAGAGATTTAATAAATAGATATATCCACCGCTAAATTAAATAAGTTGCAATAGTTGTTGAAGGAATTTAAGTCACCGCTTTTGAATTTGTTTTTTTTAATGGAGAAGTCAAAGCATTTGATGATGTTTTGAATGTATGATTTTTTTCAGCGAAGGAAGTCCAGGCATTTAATGGAACGTTTCATTAAAAACAGAGATTTTATAAATGTTCGACAGCTCTAAGCACTCCAAGACGTTTAATTTTTTTAAATAAGATTTTGGATAATGATGTTTTAATTAGCGTTATGTTAGAAAAACATAATATAAAATTATTAATTTTTCTTTATCAAATAATTTAAATTTTTGAGTTAAAATGATGATTTATATGGTCTCAGAACCTCAATGATCACAGGGGCGGAGCTAGGGGGAGGCTAGCATGGGCGGCCGCCCCCCTCCACACTAAAAGAAATAAAAAAATTAATGTGGTTGAAGGTTAGATGTGGTACTGTTGTCTATGAAGCACCAACAATTCAAAAATCCTGACGTGTCGTGTCCAATACTTCCCGACACTCTCGGACACTCCCCGACACTTCAACACGCGTTATAGAAATTCAAAAAAAGGTTCAAAGGTTGCGTTGCATTGAGATTTTAGTTTCAACTATTAGATTCATTGGATTACGATTATCATTTTTCTGCATTATTTGTTTCTTTGCAGTATTTTTATTTATTTATTTTAAAAACATTTGCATTTTCTGCATTATTTGTTTCTTTGCAACCAAGTTTCTCTTTTTATTTATTTATTTTAAAAAAACTATATATAAAATCATTGTTTTAGTTAATGTTAATGTTGAATGAAGGCACTCTTTTTTTTAATTATTGTTTTAAACTACTTTTTATGTTTGTTGGACCCGACCAAATATAATATTTTTTCAGTCTTTGAAATGTTGTTAAATGTTAATATTTAGGTAAGAAATTACTTGAACAAGTTCCATAAAAAAATGACGTTAATAGGTTAAGAAAATATTGATATTATATAAAACAAAAATTTAATTTTTGTCCCCCCTCCTCTCCAATCCTGGCTTCGCCACTGAATGATCATGTTATTATAAATTATCTTCTTAATGTCGCAATCTATTTATAAATAATTAAATATTATGAGATAAGTGATTTTAAATATTATTCATCTTTCAGGTCTAATAAATTCTTGTAAGATGGGTATATTAGAAAAATATAATGTAGAGTAAATATCATTTTTGGTCCTCAGCAAATTTCACGATGCTCACTTTAGTCCCTAGCAAATAAAAAGGCTCTCTGTGGTCCTTAAGATATTCAAAATGGAATCATTTAGTTGAAATTGTGATCCCTCACAAATTCTAAAAAGACCCACATTAGTCCCTCAAAAGGACTAAAATGGGTCAACTTTGAATTTCTTAGGGATCACGAATAACCTTTTTATTTTCTAGGGAATAAAGCGGGTATCGTGAAAATTGCTAAGGAATGAAAAAGGTATTTACTCTATAATATAAGTGATGGTGGCACGCACATGTGAGGGTTATTATGCTAGTAGAAAGGAATGCTGGGAATTATGATATATGCATATTATGGTAATGGATCATAATGAAATAATAACAGAGAAGCAACATGATGATATGCTCATTCCACCCATAACCCATATGATGCACATGAAAACGTCACATTATATGACAATCTCTAAAATGACTGAAGACAATTTAAATAATACTTTTGTTATACAACAAGGATGAAATTCTCTGAATAACCTCTATGGTAGCAGCTGTTGGAATTTGTATAGAAAATCTATTGGTTATGAATAAGAAGTGACACATTGGACAACTAGCAAGAGGTGAGAGAGCTTATAACCTCGCATCTCACACTCCTAAATTACCCATTAGGGCACTACACTTTTGTGGAGGGAAGAAGAGCTAGGTGGGCTTAGGTCCACCACAAGCGTGCTGCCGTCCGGGCGGCTCGGCTGAAAAAAAAAATTTATTTTTTAATATTTTGTCCAAAATGCCCCTGTACTTATCTGTTGCTTCCCTCCAGTTTCTTTAAACCCAAATGTTTCTTCCCGCCGGTTTTTCCCATTCACGGCAGTTCGCTGCTGACGGCGGTTCATCGTGATCGGTCAATATCTATAAATAGACTCTGACCCCTTCATAAATTTGATCTAATTTTCTGCACTGTTATTCTGCCAGATTTTTTCCTCCATCTAGTTTGCATATTTCTTTCCATCCTACGATGTAATCCCTCTGACATATTGTTGTGTTCGTTTGGACTGTTGACTGGTAGTGCCACCACTCCTCAGGCGCAATCCGTTATATCTTGGGAGACACTTGTCCATCAACCTTTGGCATCAGTAAGGGGGTAACTTGTCTTAAGGAGACACATTCTATGGGCTCAAATTTTTCATTATTCTGCATACATTCATCATTCTGTTCCATTATCTGACATATTGTAAGTCTATTTTAATTTCCTTTATTACACTGTGTTTGATAATTCCGATTATTATCTCATTTGTTCTATACATGGGTTCAAACCTCCTAGTGATTTAATATCACCACTGTCGTCTAAATAACAATCTTAAGACAAGTTGGTGTTTTGAACCTGTGATCAGTATATTCTATTTACTGTTTTATATACTCCTTTTTATTTACTTTGTGATTACTGTATTAATTTATGTGATTATAGTATTAATCTGTGTGATTAATTTTCGGATTCTGTTTGTGTAACAGAAATGGCTACTGCAAGTGCAAACACTGCCAATCTTACTGCCTCTGTTCCAATGCATGCTGACAAACCTGAAAAACTGAATGGGATAAATTTCAAGCGTTGGCAACAGAAGATGTTGTTCTATTTGACAACACTAAGTTTGGAACGTTTCCTCAAGGAAGATGCTCCTAAGTTGGATGAGGGAGAACAACCTGACAAAGAAAAGGTTGCTGCCATTGATGCATGGAAGCATTCTGACTCCCTTTGCCAAAACTACATTCTCAATGGTCTAGACAACACACTATAATATGTGTATAGTGCCCTGAAAACCAGTAAGGAACTATGGGATAGTCTGGACAATAAGTATAAAACTGAGGATGTTGCCTTAAAGAAATTCATAGTTGGCAGATTCTTGGACTTCAATATGCAATACTCTGAATCTGTTGTGAGTCAAGTTGAAGAACTTCAAGTGATTGTGCATGAAATCCATGTAGAAGGAATGTCTCTTAGTGAGTCTTTCCAAGTTGCTAATTTCATAGAAAAATTACCAAATTCTTTGAAAGATTTCAAGAATTAGCTCAAGCATAAGTGCAAGGAATTGTCACTTGAAGATCTGATTATGAGATTGAGGATAGAGAAAGATAATAAGATTTCTGATAAGAGGAATGGCAACAATCCTATGGTCTCCAAGGCTAATGTGGTTGAAGAGGGATCAAAGTCAAAGAAGTGAAAATATTCTGAAGATGGAAATGCTAATCAAGGAAAGGGCAAAAAGTTCAAAGGCAACTGTTACAACTATGGGAATCCTGGCCACCGTGCAAGGGACTATAAGAAGGAATAAAAGAAAGATCAGAGGAAGCCGCAAAAATTCAATAAGAAGAAAAAGACCACTCAAGCCAACATGGTTGATATTGCTGATAAGGTTGAAGAACTGAATCTGGCAACGGTGGTGATGGAGTGCAATCTGGTGAGAGATACTAAGGAATGGTGGGTGAACACTAGTGCCACTAGACATGTCTGTTCAAACAAGTGGATGTTCTCCTCCTATACTCCTACTAATAATGATGAGAAGCTTTATATAGGAAATTTATCTACTTCAAAAGTTGAAGGTGTGGGGAAAGTGTTAGTACATAGGTGTCCTAGAGATAATCTGAGAGTCAGATGGACCCATGTACTAGTAAAAATGAGGCTATTGTAGCTTTAAGACAATATAAAAGTGAAGTTGAAAATCAACTTAACAAGAAAATTAAAATAGTAAGGAGCAATCGTGGGGGGGGGGGGGAATATGATGGCCCATTCGAGGAATCCTATATAGAGTCTAGTATTAACATCAGAAAATTGCTCCGTATTCACCGCAATCAAATGGGATTGCAGAAAGGAAAAATTGAACGTTGAAAAAAATGATGAACGTTATGATAATCACATTTGGTTTACCACAGAACTTGTGAGGGGAAGCACAGGGATTGACTATATGAAGTTTAAAGATAACATAGGGGATCCGTTAACCATAGGGATTCTTAGAGTGTTGGTTGAGAATTTGTCGACAGAAATTGGTTTAAGGCCTATCAATTGTTGATTATTTGTAAAGGTCAACGATTCAAGTCGCCTAGACCATCGATTGATCAAGTATAGCCGATAGGTTTCACTAGAGAAGGTTCAAAGGTAACTATACCTATCTCGATGCAATTGTTTCTCGTTGAGGAAATCACATTTTGTATTCATATTCTTATGCATTCAGTCACGATGAATTGGCTTCTTATCCATGTGGGGGATTGTTGGAATATGTATCTGCATCCTATAGGTTATGAATAAAAAGTGGGTTGAGGAAGGAAAGAAAGAAGGAAGTTGACAGAGTGTGAGGGTTATAAGAAGTCTCACATTGGACAACTAGTAAGAGGTGGAAAGGTATATAAGCTCCCACCTCACACTGCTAGAATGCCCCTTGGGGCACTACACATTTTGTGGAGGAGAAAGGAGTTAGGTAGTCTTTGGTCCACCACATACACAGGCGTCTCCGCCGCCGTCTGTCCGTCCAGCTCGGCTCGTTATTAAATTTATTTTTTATTTTTTTTGTCCAAGGCGATTTTTCCCTTTCGGTTTTGATTTAAAACCGAACCGACATGTTCAATCAATATTCCTTCGGGCTGTTGACTGATAGTGCCATCATTCTTCAGAC